CTTGGTGGCCAGCAATCTCCTGACCTGCCGGCCTCACCCCACCTGGGGAGTATGAAACCCATACTTCCAAACAGGCTGTGTTTCCCTCAGGGCTCCCAGCTCTCTGCAGGGCCTCCTCCACTGCCCTCAAGACTCAAGATCAGACCTTCCCTCTCGCCAGCTAGTCACCCCGGGTTTCTGTGACTCTTCGAGCTCTCCCCTCAGGACAGGATTGATGCTTCAGTCCCTGCAGGGCCTCCGTGCCACAGAGAGCCCTGTCCCCCCACCCCCAGGAAACATCCTGGGCCGTGGCTCTCCTGCCCTCGTGGGCCACAGCGGACCCGCCAGCACCTCTCACTGGGACTGCTCCCAAACGCACCTGGACTCAGGCTTCTCCAGGTGAGCACCCCGTCCACCGCGGGGGCGGACACCACACTGGCTCCCTCCATCCCACTCTCGGCCACCCTTCCACCAGCCCCGGCGGCAGAGAGCAAGACCTTGCTGGAGCACCTGCCAGAGCACATTTCTCCCCTGTTTAAGCCTCCATGTGTTTTCATGGCTTTTAGAACAAACCCATCAAGGGGCGCCTGGGTGGCTCAGTCAGTTAAGCGTCTGCCTTTGGCTCAGGTCCTGATCCCAGGGTCCTGGGATTGAGTCCCGCATCGGGCTCCCTGCTCGTGGGGAGCCTGCTTCTCCCTCTGCCTGCCACTCCCCCTGCTTGTGCTCTCTATGACAAATAAATAAATAAAATCTTAAAAAAAAAACCCAAAAAACAACAAACCCATGGTGCTGAAGGCCACATGTGGTCTGACCCACCTGTGTGTCAGAGCTTGTCCTTTGCACCCAAGCTCCACTGGTCGTCTTCCTCTTCCGGAGAAGCCATGTGGAAGCCAGCTTTGGCCCTGCTCTTCTCATTTGCCTATTTTTCCACCCAGAACTTTGTGTGACTTCCTCTTTTTGATCACGTATTTAGGTGTTAGCCCTAAAGTCACTCCCTGAGAAACGCCTTTCCTGACTGCCCTAACTTGCTCCTCTCTACCCCACTGATTTATTTCATGTCTTCAGAGTGGTGGTTATTTGGAAGAATATTATTTGCTCGAGTATGGGTTTATGGTCTCTGGGCTCCCTCCCACCCCCATATACCCACTGTAATATAGATTTCAAATGATGAGAGATTTTCGCTTACATGTATGTGCAGTATCTAGAATACTTAGTAGCTAGGACAGCATTTGGCATGAGGTAGTGGTAACTACCTTAATAAATTATTTGAATCAACTTTGTTTTCAGATTGCTCTGTTTCCTAGAGTTCCTGAGAGGTAAATTTCTCAATTTATAGTTTCAGGCCCTCAGAATGGATTCCCATGGACTCTGAATTTTGGCTTTGAGTTCATCCTTGGTAAGCATTTTCTTCCATGTGAGTCTCCAGTGACTCTCTGTGGGAGGTTTCATTCTTGAGCCGGAGGGTCCAACGAGCTTCACAATTCCTCAGCCTTACAAAGTGGTTAGCATTTGGAACACATAGCCATGGGTGGTGCAGACTTCCTGGCTCCATGTCTTAGAGGTGGATCATTTCTGCCCACAGTCCGAGGCATCAGCCAGCTTTGGAGCCGAGTCCCTGTGGCGGGCAAAGACTTTCGAATACTGTTATTAGAACAGGACAGTTTGGAGTCCTTGCTTCATTCAAGGAGCTCAGTTATAAGTGCATAAAGGGCCTGAGACCTTAGCTCCAGCCCCTGGGACAGGTATTAAGACTCCAGCTCCCTGGGCCTCCTTCTGGTCCAGTTGCCCTGCAGGCTGCCTCTGTGTCCACTCCAGATTGAATGTGCTCCTTGGCCTGGGCCCTGGGAGTTCCCCTTTCTGGCACTGGAGCTCAGTACTGTGGGCATATTTGGTTGATGTGATACCTTATCCAGCCCTGGGTGTGTGTTTGGAGGGTCCGTGTCGGTGCAGCCCACCCTGTGGACCAGAGAGGATCCCTTCTGGTCAATCTCCCCGCTTTGTCCTATCGCTCTCACGCCAAGACCCTGTGTGACGGTGACTCTGTGTTGTGCAGTTTGGTTTGTGGTCCTTGCTTCCACGTCTGCTCTTGGAGGGACCCCAAAGTACCCCAAAGTACCGAGTACTCTGCAGGGTCCCCTGGGCCCCCACCGTAAAGACTTGCTCAAGAAAGGAAAGCGAGAGAGTGTCAGGGCTTTGTCATCCACAGCTGGCCTCCTGGCTGGTGCTGCAGCAGCCTCCCCACTACCCAGCGGCCCCCTTCATTCTGTCAAGCTACAGAGCCTTCGGGAGCGAGGGGCTTCCTTCCTCCCACAGCAAATGGCAGGAAGGGCGGCCGGTGAGAGAAAGCCGGTGATTCTTACAGAGCTTTCAAGGCTAGAGGCCAAGGTGGGATGCGTCTCTCACCACCGATTTCTTTGGCCTGACCCCCGTTACACCCTGGCTTCCATGCAGGTGAAGAGGTGATACGATTGTAGCCATGAAGCAGCTCAGATTTATGAGCACTTGGTGTAGGTCAGGCATGTGCCAAGCACCTTAGAGAATGATATAAATACAAAATGATTATGATGCTGATCCCAGCAGTTACATATTTGGGTAGAGCTGGTCTCCCCCAGACTGAGGCGCCAGAGCTGTGACCACATGGCGTCAGTGACTTGGAACGTCCGTCCATCTGCTGGTCTGCGTACACGTTTTACTTACCAAAGCACCCTGGCTGCCTTTTTCACTAGAAGATTTTGTTTTTACATTTGTGACTTTCAAAGAATTTTTTTTCTTAGGTTTTATATATTTAAAGAAATGAGTGTCTTACCTGCCATTAAACCCTGACATACTTTTTAAATTTAAATAAAAAATACAATATGGTCAATAGGAACCCAGTCCTTTACCATGTGGGTCAGTCCCCCAGACCTATTCCAAAGCCTTCCCTGCCGTTTCTCCCTGGCGGGTGTCCTCCTCCCTGGGGCAGGTGGGACAGCACCTGGTGGAGACTTGAAGCCTAACTCTTACAGGAGTGTGAGCCTCCAGGAGGCTGTGCCCATCCCTCCCCAGGCCTCCAGCACCCCCAGGGGCCTTCAGACAGCTCCGGGGGCCCTTGGGCGCTCTGGTGAGAGGGGTGGTGGCTGGGAGGATGCCAGAGGAGGATCCTCTAGGGCAACAATGCTCTCTCCCAGGGGCTCCAGTGGTCCGAGACAAGAGACAGAAGCTCAGGGAAGGCAGGAGATGGCACTGCGTGTGGTAAGAGTGGCCTGGGGTTCAAGGGCCAGCTGGGTGACCTCAGTTTTGCCATCTGTACAGTGGGGTGATGAAATACAAAGACCGAATAACCTACTATTTGTACAGTGCTTGCAGTTTGTGTGTGACATGAACATGGTATAAGCATTTGTTAAATAAATAAATGCCCCTGAATTCCAAAACAAGCAAGGCCCCGCTCCAGATGCAGCAAGGGAAGGAACAGGAAGGATTGCCTAGAAGACAGAAGGAAGAACTGCCCATTCCATCCTGCTTTGGGCAACGATTTCATCCTTTCCCTCCTAAGCCCCTGCTGGAGGGAGCAGGAGGTCCTGAAGTATGCACGGCTCCCACTCCTGCGGGGCTGCGGGGGGTGTGCTGTCCAGCCCCAGCTGGCAGGCAAGGCTGCAGGAAGCGTGGGGAGGGGGAACGGGGGGGGGGCACAGCTGGGGCAGCTGTCCCCGATGAGCGGCTCCCCCGCAGGTGGCCTCTCTTCATCCCTTACAGCTAGCTCCCTGCTGCCGCGGAGGTTCTTCTGATACAGTAACCAAGAGCTGGGCTCTGGAGGAAAATGCACCTGTTCCCTCCCTCACTGCTGTTTCTTTGTAGGACGACCTCCTACCAGGGCGGGGCTGGGGCCCAGCACCATGAAGGTAAAAGGCAGGGGCTTTCTTCCCCTCCCTGGTACTTTAGGAAAGGAAGCCCAATTAAGGAGCCTTCTCTGCTCCAGTGAACACTTAAAGCTATGACACAAACTGACTTTTCACCAGAAGGTGGGTTTCCATTAGTGACCAAGTAAGAGCCACACAGCATAGTACGTATTCTCTACAGCACAGTGGCTCGTCCTCGCGTGTGGATGGATTGTTGGCGTGAGAGGGCCGGGGAGGGGCAGGGAAAGAAAGACAGGAGTTACTAAAAAAAAAAAAGCCTGAACACTTATTTTTTCCCTAAACATCTCTCTGTCCAAGAGCGGGGTTTTTCAATCTTGGCTAAACATCAATCCGCTGGGGAGTTTTTAAAAATCTAGCTGCCCAGGTCATACCCACCAGCCTAGTGTGTTCAGTTGTTTTCTCCCTACAGCCAGGCAGCCAAAAGCCAAAGTTATACATGGTTCTCAAAGGCCTAGTGGACTCGTCAGGGGTGGACAAAGTTCCTGTAAAGGGCCAGAGAGTAAATATTCGGCTTCGTAGGCCAATGAGACTGCTGTACCCTCCTCAGCTCCACCACCGCAGCATGAAAACAGCCCGAGCTGACACGTACGTAAACGTGCGGGCGTGACTGTGTTCCAATAAAACTCTCTTTGCCAAAACAGGTGGCGACCAGATTTGGTCCACGACTGTAGTCTCCGTCCGTCCCTAATCTAGGGGAGATAAGGGGGCTTTCCTAAATCACCCCTTGAACGTCTCCGCAGTCCCCCCTCCCAACACAAGAATCCTCCCTTTGCAAATCTATTCATAAAAATCCTATCAAAATAACCCAGCAAGCAGGCATCCGGCCAGACCGAGGGAGGGCAGGTTCCTGGAGCTGGGTGAGGGGTGCTCAGGGACTCCCTCCACTCTCTTCCGCTGATTTGTGTTTCAACATTTCCCAGGATACCAGGTTTAAGAGATGAAATTTTACAAAGGAGGAAAATGCCTTCACAGAAAAAGCACAAGCTGAAACCAGCCAGGAGCTGGGGGAGGGCGGGCCCCCAGTGGTTTGCTTCCCGTGTCTCCTCCCCGGGGCGGGGGAGGGGTGCCCTTCAGAAAGCGTTTGCAGAAGCCGCAGGGGGTGAAGCCTGCGGGGAGGATACTCACGACCAATAGAGCAGCATGAGCAGGAAGGGGCAGATGATGAGGGCCTGCAGGACCTGCCAGTCTCGGCACAGGGAGGCCAGCCCGGGCATGAGGAACTGCCCCGCCATGGCCACAAAGCTCGCCACCATCGTGATCATGAACCGTTTTCCAGGGGGGCACAGCTCTATTCCTGGAACACAGAAGGGACAAGAGAGACATGAGCGCCCTGCCCCGTAGCCTGGAGGAGCCACGGGTGCACCGGGGTCAGGGGACCTTCTCAAACAACAGAGCACTGCAGAAATTGTATTTATCCGCTGGCCGCCACGAGAGCCCCACGTTGTACGTCAATGTTGAGATCCTTGTTTTTACAGCTGGATGAGCCGAGGCCTGAACTGGGAAGGAAGAGATCGTTGCTCAAGGTCACAGAGCGAGTCAGCGGCAAAAGAACGTTGTAATTCAGAATTGCTGAGCCCAGACACTAGGAGACGCTGCTTTGTATGGGGCTGTAGTGTTTGCACCGCACAATTCCACTTCCTCTGCTCTGGGGATGCTACTGAGCTTGCTGGAGGGTAGGATCCCTCTCCTGCCCATCTGCTGCCGTGCCTTCCCTGGGCGACGCTGTATCAGGGGACCCCCTCCACCTGGAACGTCCGTCTGCTCACTCCCGCCACCTGCACCATCCCTCCTTCTGGTCCCGACTCCCGTGCTCCTTTGGAACTGTGAGTTCCAGGCCATCTATTTGCACTGTGAGACCAAGACAGACCAAGTTGCATCATGGTTAATCTATCTGAACAAGACAAACAAAAACAAAACCCAAAAAACAATCAATAAAGCAGATTTGGACTAGGTAGTAAGCTTCCCCTCCCTGCTGGAAATCTGCAGCCCACTGTGACATGGGGGTGTCACACGACCCTTTCTCTGTCCCCACGAGAGAGACAGCTCCTCTGGCAGAGGCATGTCTGAGTTATCTTCAGAGGTTCAAAACAGCACCACTGTCTGCCTTCGCTAAATGTCTCCTGAATGCAGAGACATCATGGTCCCCCTTGTTGGCAAGAATCTATGCTCTTAATCTGACCTCGAGTGAAAAAGACGGTCACAAAAGCTTCAGCTGTAGTACCCAAGTGCCAGCCAGTACAGATCCAGTATGCGAATTCCTATAATCAAGGTCCTCCGCACTGCAACGTAGGCTGAGTTTTATATATCCCCCCCCTATAGAGCACGTCGGTTTGTTTGCTAGTCTTCTTCTACAACGTGCAATATTCCCTAAAGCTTGCTTTTTTTTTTTTCTTTTAAGTATAGTTAAAAATGACTTTCTAAAAAAGAAGAAAGACCCTTGGGAGAGAATACTTTTTGTGCCTCTGTTTCCAGAGGCTGTGGATCCGTGGCTGTGGCCCATCTGCTGGTTGTCTAGGGACCAGAGCTGAGATAGCAGGTCAAAAGGCAATAGGGAGGCGAGCAGGTTTGAGGGGAAAACAGACACATTACACTTGGCCACAAGGATGGAATCAGCCCTAACAAGGATAGGGCACCATGCCAGCCCATATCTACACCAGCTCACCTGCACGGAAAGAAGAATAAAGTCATCAACATTTCCACTGCCTCTCTGCCACAAACAGATGATCATCACAGCAATGGGTGAGCGGGAAAGAAAGCTGGCCTCGCTGCATATAGCTTCTAAAGGACTTTTTGCCATTTAATTAAGAAATCAGGATTAAGCAGCCCTCTCCTGGCCTCTTACTGTGATGCCATTCCTTTCAAGAGGCACGAGCCGGGTTCACTTAAACGATCACTTCCTAGTGGGACTCGGGTATTCACTGCAGATCTGGCATTTCTGCTCTTAAAAATAACGGACCAGGGTCTTTTTAGAAAAGACGAACCGGGGGCGCCTGGGTGGCTCAGTCGGTTAAGCGTCTGCCTTCGGCTCAGGTCACGGTCCCAGGGTCCTGGGATCAAGCCCCGCGTCAGGCTCCCTGCTCAGCGAAAACCTGCTTCTCCCTCTCCCTCTGCGGGCCGCTCAGCCTACTTGCGCTCTCTATCAAATAAATAAATAAAATCTTTAAAAAAAAAAGACGAACGGGCACAGGTGGTAGCTTGCACTTAGTAGGCACAAGCGATAGATTTGCTATGGAAACCAGCAATCAGCATGAGCCAGGGTGAGTTCACTGCTCAGGGCTCGGCACAGACTCGTCTCAGAAGAGACAATTTAGCACTTGGCCACCCGGGTAAGCTTTAAACGAAGTCAGAGAGATACTGTTCAAATAGCTGATGGCTTCATGTCAGCGGGCTGGCAGGTGCAGCGGGCATGGCACACAGCCTGTGGATTTGCTCTTCACTGCCTCCCTCTCTAATTCTGTGCCCCGGTAAGTATGAGACTATCCGAGACTCTGGTAGCTTTACTACAGACCTCCTTCGGGACGTCTCATCCCACACGCTAGTCTACACTCCGTGCTATCGCACAAAGGATCACAAGGCAACTTCCCAAACGAGGGTGTGGGTTTGTGGAGGCCAAAGGAAATTCGTCCCCTGATGGGCAAATGATTCCACAGTCTGACTTCTCAGCAACCCCCTCCCTTGCTGCAAATGACATGCTGTGACCAGGACATATGTCAGCGTTCCTGTCGACATGACAGTGATTAATTGTCATAGTTATTCTCCCGTAGGGTTCTCTCGTCCCTCTCCCATAGGCGGGTGGAGGGTTCCTCTAATTCCTCGCGAGGTCCTGAAGAATCTGCGCCACCTGAGAGCTTGTTAGAGATGCAGAATCTCAGGCCCCACTCGGACCCCCAGAATCAGTTTCTGCATTTTAGCAAGATCCCCGGATGACTCCTTGCGAGGCATAGGCTCATGATACTTCCCCCAATGGTTACCCTCACCCATAGCGCGAGAAATGTTTTTGCCTCCCAGACACAGTATCTGAGAGCTGAATAAGTAACATCATTTTCCGACCGCTCCACTCCTGCTTTTGCAAGGAATCTTAGCAGAGATTTCACTTTATTTCGCCAGGCAGAAAAATGGACGAGCACTCTAGCTGATCCATGTATTTTAGCATTCCTGCCAGGGCAATGGAAAAACACAGTGCTTCGATGTAAGGACACAGGTATGACACTTGCATATAATGACCTTTCTGCCTTGACTCACCAGAAATCCTCTCCAAACTGCCCGAAATCCACTATGTTCTGAACGTGGCTATAAAGATGTTAAAAAAAAAAAAAAAGCAATTATCAAAGAACGGCAGGCACTTTAGGCTTGCCATTAATCACATGTTCCTTTTGGATGATGAGAAATCAGTTTTCCTGAAGTAGAAGAGAGGAAGAAATACATCACAGCATTAAAGCCTTGAGTCCTGGCATCCGGTAGCAGGGGATAGGGACAGCAGGTAGATGGCTTCCGCCCACAGGGGGCCTGCTCCCGGCTCTGCAAACAAGAGCATTTGGTGCAGGGGTTCACACACCTTGGAGATGCCTATAGCTATGAGGCCAGGGCCACTGGCCTTGGCCTTGAAAGGCAGGAGGGACATCCGGGTGTCTCAGTCAGCTAAGCGTCCTGCCTTCGGTTCAGGTCATGATCCCGGGGTCCTGGGATCGAGCCCCGCATCAGGCTCTCTGTTCAGCGGGAAGCCTGCTTCTCCCTCTCCCTCCGCTGCTCCCCCTGCTTGTGCTCTCTCTCTCTGACAAATGAATAAATAAAATCTTGAAAGGCAGGGAAAACTGCTGGCAGCAGGGAATGGTGTCCCAGTGGCACCGCCCCCTCAGGACCTGGGGATCACGGAGAACAGGCCACCCACAGGCAGGCATCCACAGCTCTGCACCGCTGGCTGGTCAGCAGCACCTGGGGTGGCCCGGGTGGCATGCCATGCACTTTTGTGGGAGGCCCGCCCTGAAGTCATCTTAGTAGGTTTTCACTTATGGGCAGCAACTACCCCCCTTCCTTATGTAAAACAACTAAGGGCCACACACACACAAAATCATCTTAGGTGAGGCATCGTAGATTCAAATGTGAAAAGCCTGGATTCTGATGCCAGACAGCCTGCGCCTGAATCTGTCCCCAGCATCAAAGCTTGTGACCGGGGAGGGGGGAAAGATGGTGGAGGAGTAGGGGACCCTATTTCAACTGGTCCCCGGAATTGAGCT